TTCCTGCTATACATATTTTGATTCCCCAATTCTCTTACTTCTTGAAAGTGATGCTATCACAAGAATAAGAGAATTAAAATGAAAAAGTAGATATCATTTATTTCATAATTAGAGCTCTGATAATTAAAATTTCTTGATTTTTGTGCCATGATTCCTATAAATAATGTTAATGGGGCTCCTTCGATATTTTGCATTTGCTTTGTATTATTTTTCAGAGCCAATCGACTTCCAAGCTCTATTATAGAGAAGACATCAAACACTCCTCTTGAGCTCCCTGATAGAGAGGTGCTTCTTATGGAATTTTGGATGTCAAAGGGGCGGCCTCGTCCGAAGGGTGAGAAGAAGAAGAAATTAGTCGTAAAGAAGATGATAATAAACGAGCTGACAGACCAAGTGGGGGTTGTTTGACTCGCTCCACGGTTCTCGACTGAGAAAGGATCAGATGGATGGTAGAGGCAGAGCAGGTGGCTTTGGCACTTGCCCGTCGAATCAACCTCCTATTGCGGCTCAGGACTTGCTGCTCGAAAAGACAGCGTAAGTGACTGTTGGTGTCCTGTGGCCACTCAAGGCTCATGGAGTTTCCAGCACCTACATGGTTTGAGCTTAATCGGCTCCTTAGTATGATGAGATTCAGTCTTGTCGGTCAAGTTATAATTTTCTCTCCTTTTTTCTTATATTATCTTTTGGTACAACCAAGCCAATACAGATCGATGAATCACTTCCTGGAAACACTGGTCAAAATTTGATCGTGGTGCTAGTAACTGGTACACAGACGCCAGTTAAGAGCGAGGTGGATGTGATTGACCACGCGGACATCCCCCCTGAAGGCCTGCGGCGAGGTGATCGATGGACACATATATGCCCCGAATCATTGGTTTGCCTCCTGGACTAGATAGAGGGTTTCTTAGCTCGGGGGTTAGGATGTTGTGTGAGGAGTACATAAAGGAGTTGCAGGAGGAGTTGGTGGCCCTTAGCCTGGAGTTGTCGAATGTTTAGAAGACCTGCTTCATTATCCGGATCCAAGTCAAGGCTGACTTTGTAGTTATGTTTAAATTTGGTGGAGAGGTTTTGTATAAGAGGCTGCTTGAGCAAGGGCCTGTCTTGCCGAAGTGGTAGATGAACTACTTGTCAAATACTTCCACTCTCAATAAATTGTGAGTATAATTTATAATATTTTTGAAATAAAATTTTATTTTTATTTCTTGTATTCTGCATTGATGTGATGTTGTCTTCTCAAAATCGATGTATGGTTTTGCTTCCTCTGTTACCGTATATATAAGAGCTAATGATTGATTCTTACATCGCACTTTTTACTTTTTCTTCTCACCTCCATTAACTTCCTTGGCTTGCTGCTCTTCTGCCCTTTGTTCTTCATTCAGATGGCTCTAAAGTGTTCTCCTTAACACTTAAGGTTAATGGTCACGACCGATAGATCGACTATGACAATGGAGGAGGTGGCCATGCTATAAGGTACATGTGTCTTTAACTCCACCATACAACTCTAAGTTGTTGGAGGGTATCATTGAGTGATGAAATGGTTTGGGGAGGATCTGATTTTCAACTAAGATTAGTTTAAGCATAGTGTACAGCTATCATTTTGTTATGAGTTGCGAGCAATCTTCAATCATTATAGAATCACCCCTACTCAGATTGCCAAACTCTATAACTACTATTGTGACGTCAGTTATTTATCACCACTAACCAGGGATCATGCTGTTGACAGATGACCCAAGGAAAATATGTTGAGATTTTCATACCTATTTTACACTGTTTTTGATGATATTGCACTTTAAAGAAAGATATTTTTGATATTTTGTTGCAGGAATGATGAATTAGGGTTATTGAAGCAAAAACATGCAAAAATGAGCGAATTTGGAGCGAAAAGGACCAAAATGTGAAGATTTGAAGTAGGGCGCCGACAGCGTGCCCAACAGCGCCGACGACGAGAATTTTCGAGACGACGGCACCCTCGAGACCGACGGCGCCCTCGATGCCGCCGACGGCGAGATCGGTGGTTATGTCCAACAATGCATTGGATGAGGACTAATTTTGGAGGGGTGCTTAGGCAACTCTCGGGAAAACTCATCAACAACTTTAAAAGAAGATTTTGGCCGAAAATTAGAGGCTCTGGCTAGGGGAAGAGGTCCTGGATGTTAGAGAGGTCTTGGATGCTAGAGAGGTTCCAGTAGTGTGTAGAGAGTCCAGTAGAGTCTAATTGTGAGGAATTCTTCGAGAGATTGTAATAGTGGAGGGAAAGTGAGAGATTCCTTCTTCCTTACCGCTTCGAAGAGGAATTCTATGTGCTGTAAAGAAAGGAAGAGATTCAGAGGAACTTCGAGGAGTTTGCTTGGGGAGAAATCAGAGATAAGTATTATTTACTTGTTGTAGGTTGTAGGACTTTTCTTTTATATATGAATT